CCACCATCTCTCAGCACCAGAGCAGGACAGTCCCAGCACTTTCATTGTGTCCCCAGGGTGGCCTCAGAGCCCATCGGGAGCCGGCGTTGGTCCTGGAGGGGGGAGCTGGGACAGGCCTGGGACTGGTGGGGACTCACTGGTGCCATGGGAGTGTGTCCCCATGAGGCAGACAGACCTGGGGACACAGGACAATGTGGGAGGGTGCCTGCGCTCATGAGGTGGTGTTTGCACGTTGGTGGCCGCAGGGCACCCCCTCCCTGGGGATGCTCGGATGGGAAATGGGCATTGCCCAAGGCCAGGCATGGCTGTGAGTGGCCCAGGCTGTCCTTTCTGCTTGGAGGACAACTGTGCCAGAGGGACATCAAGGGGAAGGTCCCTGCTGGGGCCAAGAAAGGCGCTGTGCAAAGCTTGCAAGATGCATAACGTGCCATCACCTTCAGAGCCAGGCCATGGGACCGCCGTGGGACTGCATCCCCAGGCTTGCTGTCCCAGAGCCCTGTGCCAGGGACACCCAGGAGCTCCTGGGCTGGTGGTACAGAGCTGGTGGCACAAGGAGGCTTGGCAGGTGGCACTTTCCTCCCTGTTGGTGTGGTAGGGTCTGCAAGGCATAAAGTGGATAAACACTTGAAAGGGTGCTCTGGCCATTAGAGATGGACAAGGAGCCAGGCAGACCTTGGTGTCAGCCATAGTGTGCAACTCACCTTGTGGCCTCCTGGACAAACACGCATGAAGGCGACAAAGGTGGAAAGGGTATAGGAAACCCACTGCGTGCTCCTCACTGCTCCACCAGCACATGGGAGCCCCTTGCCTGGCTCCTGGCCTCATCCAACCTCTCTCCTGGTCTCCTGTCCTTCTCACACCCATCTCCTGGCAGGTGCTGTCCCTGGGCGCTGACGTCCTTCCTGAGTATAAGCTGCAGGCACCACGCATCCACCGATGGACCATCCTGCACTACAGTCCCTTCAAGGCTGTGTGGGACTGGCTTATCCTTCTGCTGGTCATCTACACAGCTGTCTTCACCCCCTACTCGGCTGCCTTCCTGCTCAATGAGGAGCAAGTGGAGGAGAAGCACTGGGACTGCAGCTACTCCTGTGACCCACTCAACATCATTGACCTCATTGTGGACATCATGTTCATTGTGGACATTGTCATCAACTTCCGTACCACCTATGTCAACATCAATGACGAGGTTGTGAGCCACCCTGGCAAGATCGCCATCCACTACTTCAAGGGATGGTTCCTCATCGACATGGTCGCCGCCATCCCCTTTGACCTGCTCATCTTCCGCTCTGGCTCTGATGAGGTACAGGCAGGGCCTGGAGGTCCATCAGGGCAGGAGGGGACTCATGGATGGATGGGGAGAGATGTATGGGAGAGAAAGAGAGGGATATAGATGGCTTGATATAAACAGTGGATGGATAGATCTTCAAGGAGAGGGGTGGTTAGTCAGAGGGATGGACAAGGATGTCATGACAGGTTTTTATCAAGCAGCTGAGACCTAGGATTTTATTCAGTAGGGTCAGACAGCCACCCAGACCCTACTGTGAGTGCTAAGATAGTGTCTAACTGGACCCACTCCCCTTGCTGGGGCTGACTCAGCAGAGCTGGGAGCTCAGTTTAGGGACTGGTCCCACATGGCAGCGAGGCCAAATTTGGGGTCATGTTGCCAACCAGACTCAAAATGTTGGCAGTGGGATGGCCTCCGTGGTTACTGCGCTACCTGGAGGCTCCACCTTGGCTAAGAGCCTGTGGGATGGGGTGAAAGGCAGCCGTTTTGGGAGCAACAGTTGGCAAGGTGAGGACCCATCAGGAAACATGGGGTTGGCCTTGGCTGCTCTCACTTGCTCACCGGTAACCCCAGAGCTTGTTGCCTTTATGGTCAGCAGAGGAAGACTGCCCTTTCTGTGGCATGATTCATCTAACCTATTTCAGATGTCACCTACAGAACAAGGTGATTCATGCTCTAGAAATGCATTTTTATCCTTCAAAGGGATCATGGCTACACTGGAGACACGCCTTTGGTCAATTTTATCCCCTGCTTGTCCTTGAGGTTTCTCACCTCTCCCCTGCAGACCACCACCCTCATTGGCCTCCTGAAGACTGCCCGGTTGCTGCGCCTGGTCCGTGTGGCCCGCAAGCTGGACCGCTACTCTGAGTATGGAGCAGCCGTGCTCTTCCTGCTCATGTGCACCTTCGCCCTCATCGCCCACTGGCTGGCCTGCATCTGGTACGCCATCGGCAATGTGGAACGGCCCTACATGGAGCACAAGATCGGCTGGCTGGACAACCTGGGTGACCAGATCGGCAAGCGCTACAATGACAGCGACCTCTCCTCTGGCCCGTCCATCAAGGATAAATACGTCACTGCCCTCTACTTCACCTTCAGCAGCCTCACCAGTGTGGGGTTTGGCAATGTCTCGCCCAACACCAACTCCGAGAAGATCTTCTCCATCTGTGTCATGCTTATTGGCTGTGAGTGCCTGCATGTCTCCCACTGTCCCCATCCCTGCTTTGAAGGTTGGAGGGGCTGCTCTGGGGAGAAACAGGGAGAGCACGTGGGATTTTAAGAGAGCATCTCCCTCCACCTATGCCTCTTCTGCACAGACAAATGGATGGAGTGATAGATAGAAATACAGGTTTCAGAAACCCACTGCTTTCAGATCCATGGTAGATACGGGTTTTGGAAACCTGCTGGTTCCAGGTCTGATGTAGTTGGACATGCATCTCCCCATGTCCTGCTGAGTCCTGCCCTCTCGTTGCAGCTCTGATGTATGCCAGCATCTTCGGCAATGTCTCTGCTATCATCCAGCGCCTGTACTCGGGCACAGCCCGCTACCACACGCAGATGCTGCGGGTCAAGGAGTTCATCCGCTTCCACCAGATCCCCAACCCCCTGCGCCAGCGCCTGGAGGAGTATTTCCAGCATGCCTGGTCCTACACCAACGGCATCGACATGAATGCGGTGAGTATGGGGCAGGGAGGCCCCATGTCCTCATGGCACCTTGTCCTGAATGACCCAGAGTCTAGCTTTGCGTCCACCCAAACATTTCCATCCTTTTGACCACAGTGGAGAGGAGGCAGGAGAAGACTTGGGAGGCTGGAGACAGAGTCTGTCTGCCCTTCCGCTTCCTGCATCCCCCTGTCTCCTTCTCCCCCTCTGTCTGTCCATCCCTCCACATCTCCTCAGAGGTTTTCTGGGGCCATGACGGCATTTCTTGGCTGGAGAGCAGGTTTGGTGCCAGCACGCTGTTGAGGAGCTCAGAGCCCCCGTTGGCGCCGAGCACTTTCAGGCCGATGTCTGTTGGTGTCACAGAGCCGCGGAGCCGATATCGATCCAGCTCCTCTCCACCCCGCCGGTTGCTAAGCAAAGTGCATCCCGCTCTCAGCAGCAGGGAAAAGAGGGCATTTAAATAAACCTCGATCCATTTTAATTAGAGCCCGGAGAGGCGGCTGGTTGTTAGCAAAGGGGAGGATCAATGGCGGAGCCGCGCTGGAGAGGCACCGTGTCTCCAAGCCTGGTGGGGATGCTTGTGCCAACGGCGCCGGGGCACCACAGGGGTGAGGAGGGGGCTCAGCTGAGGAGTCCCGGGCTGGGGCTGGGGTGGCAGGACTCGGCTCACGGCCACGGTGCATAAACGTGCTGGTTCGGCCGGCTGCAAGGCAGAGAGAGTGGTGAGCAGAGGATGAGGCAAGGAGAGAGGTGGGGCCTGGTACTCCCCGTCTCTTGGCCCTGGGCAGGTTGTTAGCCCACTCATTCCCAGTTCATGCTCCCTTTTTTCCTAAGACTTGATCCTCCTCCGTCCCTGAGCACCATCATGACACAGATTTGTGTAAATTCAACCTCTCCGCCTTCAGCTGCTGCTGCCACTTTAAAGAACTGGGCAGCCTTTGGGGGTTTGCTGCTGGGAGAGCTTTGGGTTAAACCTCTCCCACAGAGGAGACATCCTGGGCTGGACATCGGTGGCAATAACTAGAAGGAAAGCCGTGGCACCCTACCGAGCACAGGTTCTCCTGGCTTAGTGCAAACCCAGGTCGCAAATCCCCTGCGACGAGCTGAGTTTGCGGCTTGGACGTGCTGCCGCTGACCCCCATTCCTTCC